ATGCAGTTTGAGATTGTGAATTTATCTCAATAACAAAAAGCGTGGAACAATATCAAATGTGGTTTAGGAGCCTTATTGTTTTGTGAAATGAAGTAAAATGAAAATGCTCAAACAGGAAAGATCTCTTAAGAGTGTACTTCACAAAACTCATGATTCAATATCTGCTATTTTAAATCCACCAAACCGCTTTATGGTGTTAATATTCAACTCAACATCAATAAAACAGACCAATACTTTGTATTTTCGGTTTCCTTTTAAATAATGCATTATATTTCAGTATAATCAAAAAAATCACATTTGTATAAAATTTGTTGAATTTCTTTCGATGTAACTGTAAATTCAGTTCAATCTAATGTTTTAATGAACAATCACTTGTCTTTTTCCGATGTATATTTGAAGTTGATTCCCAATGGTTGAAAAATGTCACAGAAATTCAATTATTGACCGGTAGAAAGTCTTTCTAAAGCAGCTTTCCTTTGAAGACAAATCCAACAAAGTAGAATAGTTTGTGTTTCTGAAAATTAAAACGCGATTGAACATCTGATAGTAGCACAGATTAAAGGTGGTGGACTAGCATAACAAAACAAGAGTGCTGCCACTAGCACTTAACCATCTATTAACGTCAAGAAATCAGCATAGTAGGATAACATTTAATAGTGATTTGGTAAGAAAGATAGAGCGAAAAAGAAATGTAAAAAAAACACAAAATCTTTTTTATGGTTTTTGTTATTTAAGCGTTTACATGCATTTATATGCAGTGATAGTATATAGTATACCATATTTATGGGACACACGGCTATTGGACAGTTGATCTCATCTTTTTGTTTTCTGCTTTTTCTGCCGCTTCCAACAGAACAAATAGATGGGTCGAGAATAGAGGATATACACCAGCGTCTGTGTAGAATTGGTTTATCTTACTCTCATTTTTTGTATCAAGAGTATGTTGAGAGTTGGAATAGCTGTTAAATCAGTGGCATTCTCAGAGCCACTTGCTGGAGATAGAAGCTTCACATGTCCAAAGCATGTTTTCAGCTCTGTGTGATGAGGTTGTTTACATCCATTACTCAAGGATACACATGGAGACTCCACCAATTATCTGGCCTGGATTGCTGTTTACACTTCTACAGCTGAAAGAAAATACATTGATTTTATTGATGCGGATGCGGTGGCAGCTTACTCAAAACGAACACCCGATATGTCTCTACCTCGGAAAATCCTCTCTGTCTTTTCGTCCTGATTTTGATGATGGAAGAATTTTTGATGATGAAAGAGCTTTTAATAATAGAAGAGCACCAAATAACATGATGATGTTTATAGTTACATGAGTGTGTGTATTTTTCTTGACAGCAGAAGGCTCTAGTCATGGTTGACAATAGATGGAAAATTGCTCTTCCCATAAACTTTAACCTCCAAAAGACTTCCATAGATTGCTTGAGCCAGGTATTTCCATTAATGTTAATTCAAATACGTTGCTTCATAAAAGATACATAAGTACAGTGGTCATTTTTCCATTTATTTGCATCTCGATTAACAAGTTGACAAGTGCTTTGATTTACTTTACACAATGGATACTAATCAACTGCATAGTGGGGCAATTCATAATGGCTCAAATCAAATCCAAATGATATCACCACACAAACATTCTATTGATATAATTCCTTTTAAGTTGGTCAATATGGTAATCACCCAATTTCCAACTGATAAATTGTAGTTATTTACCTTATCAGGTACAAATTTGTTTAAATTTTCAGCATTATCATTACTACTCAAAGATTTACAACCTACTAATCTGTCTATTAATAACAAAAAACCATATTTAAAAATTCGTTTTAATCATTTACATTTATTCAAGTCGCAAATATATAATTTTTGCTCAATTCTAAGAATTTTCTTTGAACATTCAGAAGAATTGGATAATATAGATATTCTAGATCAGTTACCAGACAACCCAAATCAAATAGAACATTTTCAGATTTTTGTTAATTGAACTACCTCATTTGAAAACACAAATCTGGACAATTGTGATAGATTTGATAAATTTACAAAGGCAATATTAAATAATTCAGAATATTTAAAGGATATTACACTCTGTTTTGGATATCCAAAACAGAATGAGTTACCAGATGTCTTGAAAACACCTTGTATTAAATCTCATGATATACATACAATTGACCATGGTTACTTTGACAAGTTAAATCATCAATTTTATGAAAACGTGCTTTAAATGGAATTGGATGATGGTTTTTGTTCTCTTAAATTTTCTAAGAAAATTTTAAAGGATTTTAGTATAATAAACATAGAAATTTCATTTGGCAATATATGGAAAATTGCTGATTATAAAATAGCTGCAATTGGAAACTGTCATAAACTATCTAATCTTACCAAATTAACAATAAAAAACACAAACATCGAAAGAATTGAAAATTTGACCAGTTTAGTTCATGTAACAATATTAGATTTGCTGGATAATGATATTTCCGAAATTACAAGTATATCAGAACTAGAAAGATTAAAAGTTCTTAGATTGGAAGGAAATTTATTTGACAAAGAAACCTGAAACTACAAAAGCTACTTCTAGATATGGATTGTAGCGATATTGAAGAAGTGAAGAAGTGAAGAAGTGAGGTGAACAGGTTTAATATCTACCGAAACCAACTACGATGGTTAAAAATCTGCTTGAGCTCAATGATAGAGAAGTTAAGGTGATAAATATTTTTTTACAACTTACAAAATATTTAGTTGATAAAGAAAGATTGCATTTTTTTATCAAATTTTCCATTTGAAGCTTTAAGAAATGAATAAAGTTGATAAGAATAGCAAATTCGTTTTTAATTGATATTTTCAAATTGGAAATTTATATATATTTGTTGATTTATTTATTTATTTGTTTATTTATTCGTTTATTTATTTTTGTTTATATTTATTTAGTAATTAATAATGTTCAAATGGAAAGGGACTATTTATGGAGTTGATAACGATTTTAAGATGAAATTTGTAGGATATGGAATTTAATTGAACTAAAAAAAGGAAAAAAAGTGAAGATGTTCAAGCTTAATAGCAAGTATGTAATTGCAAATACCAATAGGATTGTGGAGGTTACAAAACCTTGACGAATTTCGATGCAAAGAACTGTGTATTGAATGAGAAAATATTGATAGCGAATATTTCAGAGCCGAAATGGATTGAGAGTGGATGGATTTAAAGTGGAGTTTGGAAGAATACAGCAAACAATTGGTGATTTTAAGAGAGAATTTGGATCATTTATGTTGCAAATCAAACAGCTCGTATCTTTTTTTATTTTATTTAATCTTACTTTCTTTAAGCCAGTTATATTGATAATGACTTTTAGAATTCTAGAATTTTAGAGCGAATGGTCAAGGGCAGTCAGTGGATTATGGTGGGAATTCAAATACTGAAACAGCGATTTGCTTTTATTATTTGGCCTTCTTATTTGCTAACGGTAATGGGTGATAATTCACAGCTAGAACTAAAGATATGAAATTGCTAGACTGATAACAGCTATTTGCAAGATAATTTAATCTTGCTAATAGATTCAATGGCACTACGAATCGTCTTAAAGAGAACAGAAGAACGAGGGCAGAAAACAATAAATATTCTGAGGTTCAAACAATAAATATTCTGAGGTTCGAACAAGAAAAAAAAGAAGCAAAACTGCTGATGAGGGCAGCTATTTCATACTGCTCTGAAAACTGTTTTGAAAACTGTTTTAAAAACTGTTCTGAAGGATTTGCGAAAGTTGGGCAAAAGAACACAGAAAAGTCACACAGAGCAATGGCTGCAAATGAAAGCCGAACATTGGCCCACCAAGCATCCAGCCGGCATTTGAAAAAACACAACAACAACCAGATGCAGCAACATATCCGGTTGCAGGTTTGATGCAGTGTGTTGCGGCATGTGTGTGCTTGGCCTGCCGCGGACCTTAACACAAACAAAAAGCGGAATTTCAGTTTCATCGCGCAAAGCGTGGCCGGACAGCTTTTGGCCATGTTTCAACGCACTGCCCGATTGGGACACGCGCAGGCTGCTTGTTTGGGACGCTGCAGGTACAAATCCGGCAGCCGGCGTGCGTTGAAGGGTCCCTGGAAAAGGTCCGCTTATGCGCTGCCGGAAAAAGACCTGAAGGTCCAGAGCGCGGTGTTGCACATACACAGGGGCAGAAGGCTGTGCTATATCACGTGATTATCTTTGTTGCTAGCGTGCAGGAGCGAGCGCGCAGGGAGCGATCTCGAAGGGCCTCTTTTGCAGTGCTAATTATAGACGACAAGCGGAGATGCAGCGCGAGCCACCAAGCGGCCGACGCAGCGGCAAAGGCGACCTGAAGAGCACCAGAACAGCACCAGAACAGCACCAGAAAACGACAGCCGCTGCCCAAACGCATACTGCTTTGTGGAGGAGCGAGAAATCTAGACGCTTTTTTTATAGATCTGCACGCAAATGAATAGGAATAAGGAAAAATGCTACAGGGACCCAAAGGTGTCTTTCTATGTCTGAAAATACTTGCCAAATGATTGCAAATGTGTGGAAATAATTGGGCTTTTTTGCAACATTTTGCAATTTTAGTGAAATTCATCGAGTTTTGTTAGAGCTTAGCACCAAGTTGTTGGAGAAATAAATGCACTCTCATTACACACCACTCGCTGGATCTCTTAAATGTCTTGCGATAAAGTTATTTTGCCAATTTGATACTTCAGCTCGTGAAAAAAGGGAACCGCAATTATTCACCTCACATTTCTTTTCAATGAAAATTTGGCTCGATTCAGCCAAGCTCAAATGGTATAAATACCTTCAATTGTCATTTCAATCTTATTTTGATTGTTTGACCTTCATCAACTTTCTCTTCAGCCCTTTGTCTCTTTTTTTGTTTCCAGTTCCAACAGAATATAGTGTTCTATATCACACCCAACCTATTACGCTCGCTTTAATTCAATCATTCTTGTTCTTCTGCCTGTTCATTCAGTCAATCAGTTTTTTAATACTTTCTCTTCTACATACTTATAATTCGAAATGAAAAGCTCAATTGTCTTGTCTATCTTCAGCATTCTTGCTCTCACTCAAGCAGCCATTTTCGACAACACCACTGCTCCTATTGAAGATGAACCTGTTACTCTCATAATCGAAGATGGTGATGATGAATTATTCCTTACCGACAACTTGGATGACGAAGACGATTTATACGTTACTGTCATAGATGACGAAGATTTAATCACCTCCACTCCAATTTTAACTCCAACTTCCTCTTCAAGTGTTCTTTCAACTATATCTTCTATTTCATCCAGCAGAAGCTCACTCTCAAGATCAAGTTCCAGATCAAGTTCCAGCTTTGAGTCAAGTTCATCCAGATCTAGATCCTCCAGTTCATCTGTAGAAGCCAGTGAATCCGAATTTGAAACTGCCTCTGAAACTGACATCAGCTCTGCAACTGAAAATTTCGCTCCAGCCGTTAAAGTTGCTTTCTCTTCTACTTTCCTTGGTGCTTTAGCTATCTTGTTACTTTAGGTTTATAACTGACCCCAATTTACACCAATTTAAATATAATATAATATACTTCCTCCACACTATTTAATCTTATTTTACTTTCTTCTCTTTCTCTCTCCCTCTCTCTTACTTTCTCAAACTTCTACTTTCACCTCTTTCATTTCTTCACTCTCATCTTCAAGTTTACTTCTCCGTATAAAACTTCCTCTATCTATCTTGATTTCTCAGCCTCGTTTTCTCGAAATGACTTCGACAACAACTTTAATAAATTAATTTAATACAAGTGTACATTTTATTCATATATCTCATGCCAACTTCCAAAAACATCCAAAAACACCCAAATAAAAACATCCAGTAATATTAGGGTTTGTAATAATAGGGCTTATAACACTGGACCTTGTTCGCTTATTTATTTTCTTTTCCAAGGCGTCGTTTGTACTGCTTCTTCTTTTAGATTGGATTCTCTTCTGGACTTTTCACATTATACCACGTGTATACCACGTGTATACCACGTTTAGTAGCTTCTATTTATGTCTTATTTCTGAGTCATATTTGCACACTTTTCAACGCTTTTTTTAACTTTAATTCAGCGAATAAAATCTCGAAAAGAAACTTTATCAAAAAAAAAATTTACACTTTTTCTTTTAATTCTCTCATTTATATTGTTTTATTTATACTCCAATTTCGTTTCTACTTTTCAAAAAGACTTTTAAATGGAAGAGAAAGAAAACAAAAAAATTTTAGAAAAAATGCAATGAAATAACAAATTTTAAATTTAAATCATTACATCTATTTATACATTTCCTCTTTTTCCATTCACTACTCATCACTCATCACTAGATAAACTCTTAATTACATTCTTAATTATATTCGAAAAATCACTCCAAAATGTCTGCTGCTGCAGCTTCTTCTCTACCAAAGACTATATCCGTCGCTGGTCGCACAATTTTTGCAAGCAATATTGCAAAACAATACATCAATGAAGTCTCTCTTGGTGTTAAAAAACTACGCAGGTCTCCAACCTTGGTTGGTTTCCTAGCCTCTTCTGATCCTGCTGCCAAAGTCTATGCAAACTGGACTGGCAAAACTAGTGAGTCCATCGGCTTTAAATACTCCTTGAAACAAGTTGCAAAGGAAAAACTCGAAGAAGAAATCATTAAAGCAAATAACGACCCACTGGTCGATGGTATAATGGTTTATTTTCCTGTCTTTGGGGGAACTCAAGACCAGTATATTCAAGAAGTTGTATCCATGCAAAAGGACGTCGAGGGTTTAAACCATCAGTATATCTCAAACATGTACAAAAACATCAGATTCTTGAACAATGACCCCAATATTAAATCAATCCTACCTTGCACTCCTCTAGCTATAGTTAAAATCTTGGAATACTTGAGGGTCTACAACAATCTACTCACATATGGAAACAGACTATACGGTAAAAATATTCTCATTGTCAACAGATCTGAAATTGTTGGGAGACCATTAGCTGCTTTACTAGCCAACGATGGTGCAACTGTCTACTCTGTAGATTTAACTGGTATCCAACGATTCACCAGGGGCAAAGGCTTGCGACTAATTCAGCATCAAGTATCTGATGTGTTCGATTTATCTTTAAAAGAAATTGCTCTAAGTTCAGACGTAATTATAACTGGTGTACCTTCTCCTAACTACAAATTCCCAACTGAATATATAAACGACGGTACTATTTGTATTAATTTCTCTAGTGAAAACAATTTTAATCCTGATGTTAAAGAAAAGGCCTCCTTATATGTCCCCAAAATCGGTAAAGTTACAATTGCAATGCTATTAAGAAATTTATTGCGTCTAATCGAAAATAAAACTCAATCAGCCAATTCTATCGACTCTTCAATCTCCAATCCTGCTTCTGATATATCTTCAAATCAAACCAAAAATCCTACAAATCCTCCTCCTTCTTCCCAAGTTCAAAAACCAATAATGATATCAAAGGCAACCGATACATCTGATTTAAATTTATCTTCTTGATCTATCTCAATCTATATTTATATCTCTTATTATTATATCCTAAGTAACCTTGAACTAATTATCTTGTTTTCATAATTTTTATTCTTATTTATACATAGCTAGAATTCATATCTCTCTTTTTTTTTTGTCTATTTTTTATTAATGTAAGACTTATTTATAAATGTTGTTAACCCAAATAAAGATTTATTTGCTTCAATTATCTTTCACTCCTTGAAATTAAAATTAAATGAACCGTTTGAAATAAACTTTGTTTTCATTCCAATAATACCAACAATATCTTTGCTCCCATTTTATCAAATTTTGTTAGTTTTCATGTACTATTATCCATATTGTTCATGTCATTTTTTTCTTTCTCCTTTTTTCAAGCATTTTTGTTTTATTTGAACAATAAAACTCATTTGATATTATTAGTCATTTGCTTCTATTTAAAAAGTTAAACAGTGTTACTAGTATTCTTTGTAAATGTTTTACTTATTTTATTTTTGTCCTTTGTTTCTTTTCGATTATTTTTAAATCGGTTTTATTTATCTTTTATCTTTGTCTCTTCTCTGTGTGTCTCTGTTTTTTTTCCTCTTTTTCTTTTTCAATTGTATTTCATTTGGGTTCGCCTTAAGCTTAACATCTGCTGTAATCCATTCTTCTCTAAATTACTTTAAAAAGCTAGGTATTCGGTTACGTCCTATGATTAAAATTTAAACATTTCAAACATTTCAATTAGCTCAAGCATTGACTAATCTTATGCCAAACCCAAAGTCGAGTCAATGAAGTAATATTCTTGGTTTTGAGGTCTTATCTGAACTTGGTTCAATATTATTAGTTGGCTCAAAATTTCCTAAAACGGAAGAAAACCAATTTTCTATGAAATTAGACTAAATGCTTAGCTTTTAAATATATCTCAATTATGTTTACTGTAAGCAAATATCAAAGAACTACTTTAGCATGGAGAGCATAAAAAGTACTCACATTTATACATCGACAATCTTTGTGTTCAAAAAACCAACATTTGGTGGTTTTGGTTAGTTTAAACTAGAATCGAAACAGATCCAAGTACCTTTTCTATAGAATCTCTATAGAATCTTCCTACGAATCTAATGGCAAAGAATGTTTCACCCAATGGCAGTAAATCTTTGATTTTATAGACTCCTATACCCTGAAATTAAAAAAATACAAAACTACAACTTATATCAGAAAAGATTTGTAGACAAATTCCAGCCAAAACATCCTGGTTCAACCCCAACCAATCCAAACATAAAGACATACAGCAACCAATTTCACCTGTGCTCTTGTTGAAGCAACTTTTTTGTTGAGTAGTTGAGGTGAAGTGTACATGGTAACAGTGAATTGCTAATTAAATCAGAAATACACAATCCATGGCTTTCTAACTTTGTGTTCGTTCTTATTCTATGGTCTTTAAATAAGCCGAAATTTGACTGATATGGTGAGCTACAAATAGATTTTTTATTCCATGCTAAATAAATCTGTAGTGATGCTTTGATATCCAAAATCTGTATTATTCCAAGACATCAAAAATTTTAAAATTTTTATCTAAATTTGTGTCCAATAAGAAAATATCTGACTTTTCAATACCCAAATATACTCAATCTCATTTTCCCAGAAGCATTATCAGTCTTTTGCGATTACTATTCATAATCCTATTCACAATCCCATTCCTTGACTTATTGTTTTGTAATAGAAACTTCCAGACCTTTGATAGAGAGTTTCTTGGTGAATATCTTATCAATAATATCTCTGGCACCAATGCTATCAAAACTACAAATACAAAACAATTGGAATTGAAAAATTGTCTACAACCAGTTTTGGTTGGTTATGTGTAATCTTTCGACCAATTTTTCTATATTCATTTAATCATTGGGTATTTACATTGTTTATTTTTTTATTCAAATTCTACCCAACAAGAAAAATGCCTATTTTCAGGTCAATCCAATGACAATTAGATTTGTAAACCAGCAAAGCTTTTTCTTGCAAGAAGAAATGTCTTTTTTGGTGATGGAAATTTACCAAAATAACAAAAGCCCAGCATTTTTTTTTGCTATTTTATTTTACTTTGTGTGTTTGCAGAGTAGACCAATTTCTCCTTTCGACGTAGCTAACGCAAACTGTGCTCCTTATGAAGATGTTTGTTCAAAATATCGAGTCTCTTGCAAAGAAACTATTTCCAAATCCAGAGACCCCCAATCCAGTGTTTTCAGTGTCTATTGTTGCGTCGACACTAAGTGTTTTGCCTGCCCAATAGCAATGTGCCAGTGGCCTTCTTCTACTAAAATTACTTGATTTTCATCTTATCTATAAAATACCATGCGAGCAAATGTTTGTGGATTGTTCGATGAATGAGAATCTTCACTAGATCGCTCCAATTTGTAGAATTACTTCAAAACAGGGAATACCCAGACAGATTTCTCTTCTCTCATCTACCTGAGATACTGTCATAAACACTAATAATATGTGAAATTAGGTTTTTTGTAAATTACTGTGCACATTTACAATTCAAAACAACCTTTATATGTTTTTAATTTTCAAAAACTTAAAAGCTAAACTCTATTTTGGTTCTCGATGATTTCCTTTTTCTTGTTTTAAGCTGTTTTTGCTGATATTAACATCTTCTTCATTTCCTATGCCAAATAAACTTATTCCAGTCCACATTAACGTTCAAATTGAGATCAAAAATTGATATGTTTGGCCTTCAATACAACCTTTTAATAATATATCCCTATATACGTTTAATTATTCTTTTTTTTTTGATCATTTTATTCTTTTCCTGTCCACTTATACTATGATACCAATGAAAATATATAAATAATTCAATTTCGTTCTTGAAAATATCTTTTTTTGTATAATTATCAATTCCAATAAGCATTATTAGAATAATTAAGACTCGTTTCTAGGAAAAGTCATATACTCTCCAATTCATAAGAAAAGAAAGGAAAACAAAGAATAACACCATCACCAATAATAATACCAATAATAATATCAATAATAATATCAATAATAATACCAATAACCACAGCACCCATATCCATTATTCCAATAGTAATACCAGTAGTAACATCAGTTGAAAATGTCTGATTCACAAGCTCTTTCGTTGTTTCTAACTTTCCCAGTCACACAAGACATGTTGCAATATGTTGTCACAACCACCTTAAAAGTCTTGCCTTGCCCATCCTCAAAGTCTTCAAAGTATTCAAAGTCCTCGAAATCCTCAATTCAAATTCCTCCATCGAGTCCTTCACACTCCTCAGAGCCCTCCACACCTTACTTGCCTTCATTGATGAGCTTCTTATCCACCATCATTAGGTGCACCAATGCCTACACCGGAACATTAATGGCAACGCTAATATACTTGGAAAGATTGAAACAAAAGCTACCCAGTGGCTCTTCAGCTCAGGATGCATCTGCAAGACACCGTATTCTATTGGCTGCTTTAATATTATCTGCAAAATATAACAACGATTCATCCCCTAAAAATAAGCATTGGGCAAAGTATACGAATGGATTGTTTACTACCTATGAAGTTAATGAAATGGAAAGACAGTATCTCTATTTATTAGATTGGGATGTCAGATTTGAAACCGAAGAATTAATTCACCATTTGAGACCATTTTTGGAGCCAATTAAAGCAGATATTAGGAGAACCATCAAAATACGCAAAATAATTAAACAACAAAAAGTGAAACAGCAACAGCAACAGCAACAACAGAAACAACAGCAAACAAATGCTAAAAAGGAAAAAGAGCTTAGAATTAAGCAAGAGCAAAAAAGACAACAACAGTTAAAAGAAGAAATCTCGTTTTTAATCAATGGTGAAGAAACTCCATCGACCAACATAAACACCTCCACCATCAATAGTCTTCACACTGTCTACAGCGACAACGATACCAGTTTCAATAGCGACGATAACGACACAAGTATAAGCAGCATCAGCAGTTCTGGCAGCAACAACTGTACTAAGAAACATACAATCAAGAAAGCAGAAAGAATCTTATTTCCACCATTCAACCCAGTCAAATCTTTAAGATCAAGTAGTTCCAATTCATCGTTAAGATCTTCAAACCTCTCCAAAGGAAGCTCAACAACATCTGCATCTTCTAATTTATCTCTCACTTCAGATTTTGGTTATTCTTCAGACTTAAGATCAAGATCAGGCTCTGATTTTTCATTATCGTCAGCATCATCTTTATCATTATCCTCATATTCATTGAAAAATAATCAAACTAAAAACCCACAGTGTTTATCGCCTATATTAACAATAAATTCAAGTAAGAATAACAGCAATGAATTCGTTCCAAAGATTTTGAACTTTGAAAATCCATTGGACTTGACCAATATCAACACAAACATCAATATTGAAAAACACAGAAATCTTTTAAAACCTTCAAAATCAAGCATAAATTTACACAAAATTCTCAAAAATGACATCGAATATTCCAATAATCTCAACAGTAATTTTTCAAACAGTGTGGAAAGCCAACACTCTGATAGCTTGAAAGAAAATTATAAGATTAACTATTATAAAACATTCTCCAACAATTTCCACAGTGTTAATTACATAAATGGTTTTCAAAACATAAGCAGATCAATCTATTAAACCAGATCACCAGATCTATCTGTGATATATTCAGTAACATGCTTTTCTACTCAAAATACTATACCACAATCTTACTAATACCCATATTCATATGTTATGATACCCTTTTTGGGGGCAGATTTATAATTTCAATTCAGTGCTTTTTTTTCAAATTTATGTTATTTGGTACCATTTCTACTTTATAGTTTATACCCATTTTTTTAATTCATGGAAAATTTTAATATTTTATTTGTATGTTGTAATTACTATTTCTTTTTTTCTCCTTTTTCTTCAATCTAGTTTTGATTTTCTTCTAGCTTTTCCTTCATTTATTTTTCTTATCTTTTACTCAATTATATTCTAAAATACAATACTTGAAAATGTGATACGCTAAACAAAATTTGTAGACATAAAACAAGAAATAAAATAATTTTACAATTCAAATCAACTGCTGTTTTTTTCGGGATAAGTTCAACTTATTTGAAAAGCCTTTTTACAAGGGTTTCCAGTGAAAGAAAGCATGGTGTCTCTAAGTTGTTTCTACAATGTCATTTTAAACATATTTTAATTTTTTTTTATTTTTTAAACGTTTCAGTATATCACAAGAAGTGTTCCGCACATCAACAGATAACCAAACTAAAATATAGTCAAAAGATATATTCAGAAAGAAACAAAACTATTCAACTTAAGCTTCAGAGAAGTGCTTTAATAAAACATCTCTTTCAGCAGAGTTTGCACCCCAATTTTTAACAACAACACAAGAACAACCAACGACTTTTCTTGCATTACCTTCTCTGTCCAATTGACATAAACCGGCCCATTCACCTAATTTTTTGGCATCTGAAACTTTGATTAATGGAATTTTAGATTCGGATTGGTTGCATAAAGCTTCAACTAATTTGATGATACCTTGTTCAGTGACAGAATCACATAAAACACATAATTGGGCTTCACCTCTGGATAAAGCTTTTGAAGCTTCTCTTAAACCTCTGGCTAAACCATCAAATTTCAATGAGGTTTTCAAGACAGCAATTAAAGCATCTTCAATCGAAATTGAGCTAGCTTCAACTTTAACTTCTGGGACACCTTCCTCAACGCTAGACATTTTTAAATAGATTTATTTGGAATTGAAAACAACTAGTAATACTCGGTTAGACTTCTTCGCCAGATGACAATATCTCTGCTCAGTGCTAAATTTCTCTAACTTTCAGGTTTAAAATTTCAGCACCAAGTTCTTTGAGGATAATCTCTTTAATGCATTTAAGGGCTATTTACTGAAGTGAGCCCTATATATATACATGTGACATGTGCCATTTTTGAAAACTGGATACAATTGTGAAGCAGCATCCACAGCAATGGTTTTGATGTCACCATCAAGCCATAGACACGTTGACGTGCATGAGATAAGATCCTCGGTTATGGTTTGTAACTGCTATCCAAATCGGGTAATTTGTCACCTTAATGCCCCACAGCCAACTATAACAGTAACTATTCAAATTGGTCTTTATAAGAATATTGAATTTGGAAAGTATAATTGATAAAAATTTATATAACTGTTAGTTATTTATCTATATACGAAGCAATGTGTTTTGTAAAGTGATAAATATTTTTAAGTGCCACCCAATCTGGGTAAAATCAACATTTAAAGTTCAGTAATTGTGTTGCCAATGCCATAATTTAAAATGCAATCAATAGGACTTGAACTGAAGAGTAGAAATATAATAAAGTAAAGTATAATAAAATAAAATAAAAAAAAAAAACAACAACTAATGTTAAAATTAATGTCAAAACTAATGATTTAGAAAAAGAAATTCAAATGAGAAAAGAATTGAAAAGAATTGTTTTTATGAAAATATAAAATATTTTTTATGCTGCTCTCTTATATTTTTTTGAGAGAGTTTTTTTATTGCTATTGTAATTGGTTTTAATAAACAATCATCATTGAAGCACCTAAGGAAATTGGTGGATTATATAAAATAGTAGATAAGCATTGGATGACAAAACATCCTTTTGGGAAATTAATGTTATTAATGAGTCATCGAATTTTAGCCATTCACCATTACTATTTTTAATTATAGCAATATAATGGCCTGTGTTGACTGAGCCTGAATGGCAGATTATTGCAAATAATTCATAAGTTAGTTTGCCAAAATGTTCATCGATTTCATTATCGTGTTTTGGTTTGCTATTACAATTGTTGTTGAAGATGGTGTATTTTTTCATGTTTAAAATAAATGGAAAGTTGATGTGGATATCTAATTTTGCAGTCGAGGTTCTAGTATGTTCGAATCTTTTTAATTGTAGTGTTAAAACGGGAGGTAATTTTTTGATTGTTAATTTTTTGCTCGCAAATGTTTTCTTTAAGCAGTATGAGCAATCGTATTTGACGTCTAAATTTTCAGGGGTTGTGAATAAATCCAAGCAATCAATAATGGAGTAACTGTTATTATTATTAAAAGTGGAGGTGAAGGTGGAGGTGGAGATAGGAGTGGTGGTAGTAGTAATGTTTAGGGTGTTGGTATTGTTAGTTGATTGTTTTTTGGATTGTTTTTTGGATTGATTTATGAATTTTGAAGATATTTCTAGTGATAGATCTAGCATTGGATCGATGGTGTATGTTATTTTTTTACATTCAGAACAAGTGATTGAGCTTTGCAATTCTCCGCAGAAAGTTTTGTGAGTGATGCAATCGCAGTTCAATGGGTTGATGTTGATGTTATTTGTATTTGTATTTGTATTTGTATTGGTATTGGTATTGGTATTGGTGTTGGTGTTGGTGTTACTAGAGCCGTTGATATCATCGTTAATATTAAGAATGTTTTTGTTTGCAATAGAGTTTTTGATATGGGATATGTGTAGTTCGTCGACAACAAATTGCCAAAATTCATGAGCGTCTTGTTCGGAATAACCAGCCAAATTTTTTTTTGAGTTCCAAGCCGAAACTAGAAAATTGGTTAGACAAAAGCCAGTGGTTGAGTTTGAGGTGAAGAAGTTTTTAAAGATTTCGTCAATGGAGCAGGTTATACAGTTTAGATTTTTTTTTTTCATAATGCAATTTTGGTGGTTGCCTAGGAGGAAATAGTTTCTAATAAAGGGATTGTGAATTAAAGATTGTAGAATTGTGCTAATGAAACAGGTTGAGCCCATGTTGATAAAGCCTCTCAAGCCAGTTGAGGCCTTAAATGAGGGTGGACGAGAGTTTTCGTTAATTAGCTTTTTGAGGTCGTTTATGTTGGAGGTGTCGCTGGATGTGTCGTTGAAAGCGGTGGGATATATGGGTAGAAAATTTGATATTAGGTTGACTTTACTAGTGTTTGAGTTGATGGAATTGAAGAAATTGAGAGAAAAGTCGTTGTTAATGCCCCATTGTTTAATTGAGTTGATTCTAATCTTTTCAAAAATAGGATGGCCAACGTAGTTTAAACAGCCAAAACAAAACATGTTTGAATTTGAGGATTGAAGAGCGAAAAAATGAGATGTTTTCCTGGAATGAGATAAAGCATGATTCACTTTATTAATATCGTTTGAAGGTATATTGATGTAGTTATCTTGATCTTTATTATTATTGTTATTGATATTATTGTTATTATTGTTATTGTTGTTGTTATCAGGATTGGGATCAATGTTGGTTGGTATTGAATGATAACAACCGACATTTGGACATTGAAGACAGATGAAACTTAAATTGTTGAGGGATATGTTGGAAGAGTTGTGGTCTGAGTGGTTGTGGAGCAATTGGCAGTCGTTGCATCTCAAGTATTTTGATCTGTATCTGTATAGTTTGGAGGGATTCAAAGTATTCTTTAGAATTTTCGATTTATCATTCAAGATGAGAAAAAAGTTGTTATTTTTTGATTTATTGTTTGTGGTGGACTTATTTTTATTGGTGTTTGAAGTGATGGTGTTGGAGTTCAAATTCAAGCGTTGGAAATTTGACAATAGCGATATCTTGATGGCAGATTTGTAGTTGTTCAATAAAGGCTCTTTGGAGTCGGTTAGGAGGACCTTTTTCAAGTGGGTGCAAGGCTGAAAAGTTATGTTGTCGAGGGGATCAATTTCTTCTCTGTCGAGGTTGTAGGTGACATTGTCATAGACTAGCAATGAGGGAGAGTGCAGAGGGAGTTGCGATGAAGGTAGAATTGGGGTTGAGAACTCAGACTTTGGCTTTGATCTTGGTTTGGACTTTGACTTTGGATTGTTTGCTTTAGCTTTGGAGGAAGAGGCAAGAGAGGACGAGGAGAATTTGCGACTGGTGGACATGGTGAACAGCGTAGGCAGCACAAGAAGAAGCGTTGTGAGAAGCAGAGAAAAGAGCTCCAAACCCAGCAACATCGGCAGGCTCAGAAAAAAAGCACCACTTCCACCTCAGGACCCAGAAAAAAAGCGCGTCCGCAGCACTGGCTCAGACAACCACGCATAAAGACGCGTGTGAAGGTGTAATGATGCGTAATGACTAAACAGTGCGCACCTAATTGAAAGTTGCTGTGCTGTGCTGTGGTGCGCGTGCGTGCACATGTGGCGTCCCCGCACAAACGCACCGGCTGCTTATCTCCACGTGCGCGCTGCGGCCGGTGTGGAGGAGGTGCCGATGGTGCGATTGCCGCTGACCGCGTGCGATCCCGGCCGGATCAGCGCCCGAAAACGGCGTGCTGTGATTGGCTGGCGGTTAGTCACTGTGTGTAAAATTTTTCATTTTCCGCTTTTCGACCAAGGCCTTTCTTCGAGTGACAGGCAGAAAGAGCATATATAAACCACTGGCAGCTCAAATATCCTTCTCTGTTTTTGTTTTCACAGACCACTGCTTCGCTTTTTATTCTTATATTAAATTAATTCAACTAATTTAGTATAATTATTAAATTCAACTTTAATAATTTTCTCTCTGTCTCCTTTGCGTCTTCCTTCCAGCTGTCTCACTTGTTATCTGCTTCTTATCAACGTCCTTATCAGCCCTTCACAAACACCAAATATCGCTGCCATCACCAATATCGACCCAAAATGCCTTCCAACGATAACTACAAGTACCAAACAAAATACTCAATCGACACTGAGTTGCTCCAGTTGAGTTCTTCCGATGACCCAACCAACTCCTCAATTCCACCTTTGTATCAAACAACCACCTTCAAACAAGATCTATCCCCCAACGCTTCAAACCAGTACGACTACACTCGTTCAGGAAATCCCACCAGATCCATATTAGAAATCCAACTCTCCAAGATCATGAAGTCCTACAGATCCTTTGTGGTTTCCACTGGTATGTCCTGCTTGGACTTGATTTTGAAGCTTCTTGAACCAAATACCTCAATCTTGTCTGGGAATGACTTGTACGGTGGTTCTGATCGTCTTTTCAAATTCTACGCAAAAAATTTAAATTTAAACTTGTTGCAAATTGATACCTCAGTCTTTCAAAATTTCGTTGACATCTTCAACCAAAATCCTGACATCAAAATGGTTTTCTTGGAGAGTCCAACCAATCCTTTGATCAAAATCATTGACTTGAAAAAAATTGTCAATTTTATTAAATCAAACTATCCAAACTGTTTAATAATTTTTGACAATACAATGTTGTCTCCCTTATTCCTTACTCCCTTGGACTTTGGTGTTGATATTCACTACGAAAGCGCAACTAAATATCTCAATGGCCACCATGATATCATGGCTGGTGTTGTCGCGACAAGAGACCCCAAAATTGCTGATAAATTGGCCTTTACCATAAATGCAACTGGTTCTGCTTTAAATCCCTTTGACTCGTGGCTTCTAATCAGAGGCTTGAAAACTTTGTCTCTCAGATTGGAAAGACAACAAGAAAATGCTCTTAAATTGGCCAATTTCTTGGATTCCATTCCAAACTTAATTGTTCATTACCCCGGTCTCAAATCTCATCCTCAATACGACTTGCACAAATCCTACACTAAGGGCTTTGGCTCTGTATTGTCCTTTGAAACTGGTTCCATCTCAAAATCAGAAAAGATTGTTAAAAACACAAACCTATTCTCAGTAACTGTCTCTTTTGGCTCTGTTAACTCTTTGATCTCAATGCCTTGCACACTATCCCATGCCTCTATCGACGCCAAAACAAGACAAGAAAGACACCTTCCTGAAGACTTGATTAGAGTTTGTGTTGGTATTGAGAACTTTAACGACCTAATCAACGATTTAAAACACTCCCTCCTAAAAGCTGGCTATAGAATCCCTTCACCGCTTGATTATGATTCCTTAACCATTCAAGCAAAGTTATGAACAAATATCTTCACCTTTTGATCCTATTTCGTTCACTTCTTCAATTCTTCAACTATCCAACTAGTTATCTTTCCTATTTTTGTTATTATTAAACCCTATATTTATTATCCAACTAATACTTATACCGTTTAATCCCTGTAAACTATCCAACTAGTTTTTTCTTTACTGATTTATTTTTAATGGTTTATACAAAATTACTATCCAACTAGTAATTAATTTTATTATTAAAATTTCAATTTTCTCTATCATTCTGTTTTTTATTTTTTATTTTACATTTTACATTTTTGTTAATGTAATCCCTATCCTGCATTTTTGAAAATTCTATCCAACTAGAATTAAAATTATGAACTTTGTTATTTTTATACTCATTCTTCAAATGAAAGGTATCTTGAAAATGGTGTTTTTCTATATATTTTCTCCCTTGGTATTTTTTTGCTCTTATCTCTTTTATACTGGTTCTCAAAAAATTAAAACAAAAACAAAAAAGAATCCAATCTATCCAACTAGATTCAATTTTTTTTTCATCATTCATCCTCTAAAGTTAAATTATCTTTCATATTCATTTAGTTATTAAGTCTCTTACTTATAATTATCTCTCTTTCTCTCTCTCTCTGTACTCTATCCAACTAGATTTTTCTTCTTGCCTTATATTACCATTTATTATCCAACTAATAATTATGTAATATAAACCTACATTTAATATAGACCATTCTTAAAATTATTTATTACTCTTTCGTAAAATGTAGAAACTATTATACATATCATGTGAAATTTAATTAAAAGTCGATATATAAATACCAATTTTATACAATCAAAATCAAAAAATATATAAAAATTCGTTTAAAATCTCAAATATATTTTTTTTGCAAAAAAACGACATTTTAAATCTAAAAAAAAAAACGATCTAAAGAAAAGTGGTATACAGTTTGTCTTTTTGCTAAATTCGGGATCGAAATGAAGAATAAAAAGGGTAAAATTAATGCCAAAAAGTTTAGTGTCGTTCTCAACAACAAAAAACAAAAAAGAAATAATCAATTGATAGTAAGTAATAACAAAGAAAAAATTATTAAATACGAAATGGGTAATAAAAATATAAAACTTATCGAAAAAAATTTCTTGTACAAAAAAATAGGATGATTAACATCAGAACTTGGTATAAAATGGAATAAAATGGGATAGATTGGAATAAATTGGTATAAATTTACCAGTAATTTGAATCTGGATTTTATTTTCATAATTGACTATAATAAACAATACTTTCAAACCAACAAAGTGATATGTTCCATATCCAGTGGATCTTAAAACAAAAGGAAATATAATATCGAAATAATGACTATTCTTGACCAAAACCAACAGTCTCTTCCACAGCTAAACTTAATTTCTGTTTTAAAGCATCAATATCAGCATATGGAGGCAAATCAACTCTATTGAAACAAGTATGGGATTTTGGTAATTGATTTGGTTCCCCTGCTTTTTCAATGGTAAATCTTCTTGGACCATCAGAACCTTGTAGGTCTTTGAAACCATTAACGGGAATTCTTGAAGTACCTGTTGTGAATTGTAGCAATCTTGCTCTTTGTTCATTATCCCATTCTTTAATTGTTTGCCAGAACCATTGAATGACTTGATCACTTTCTTGATATCCTCTATAATCAGTGTGTTTTTTCCAATCTTCCACATCAATTTCTGAAATACCGCCGATTAACAATTCCAATTCTCTTTCATCAAAGACATTGACTAAATCTGGAGGAATAAGTTCGTTGAAACCGTCAACAAATGCTTTAAATTGGTCTTCCACTCTTTTGTATATTTTGAATTCAGTCAATAGTTCGACATATTCTTTTTTGTTGGATTCACCAACATCGACATTATCTCCATCAGGTTTTAGTTCAATTGTTTTAACTTCACCGAATCTTTCATCTTCGATAGAAAAAGTGAAACCCAAATCTGTGACATCGTTATCCAATATCCATTTTAAAGAGTTATAATATTCGGCATCCACACCTTCCATATCTTGTAATACGACTTTTCTTCTTAGCATCATTTTGTATAAAGCGCCAACGAAAAAGGTATCCAAAAATCTTCTGTGAAACACACATAAACCAACAACTCTTCCAATAAACTTAAAGTAGTTCAAATGTTCTGGATTTATGTTGGAATGAGGATTAATTTGTAATGTGTAGTTATCGTGAGCGGAATATTCAAATAGACCATAGGATGGATTGAACATTTCATGAGACAATAGGAAGAAAAATTCTCTTGAGACACCACCATAATCCAAACCTTCTTCTCCATCGAATTTGATCATTAGTCTCTTTTTCAAATCGTCAGAGGTTTGTCTCATAATTTCTTGGTAAGCGTCTTCAAATATGTTATTTCTGCGGACTTTGATGTGGCATTGGCCAGGAATAATTCTTAAAGCAGGTTGAGATCTGAAATAAATTAATTTTCTTCTGAAATCCCTTTTATATTGTGGAACGTTTTGATCCAAAGAAGATGGTAGCCTTGGGTCATCCCAGGTTGTTGTTTTAGTATTATGATCAACAAAATAGACTCTTGCAGTGTTTGTTAATCTCATTTCCCAACCTGAGGGCAATGGACCCAATTGAGAAACTGGTTGCTGTTGAACAGTATTAGAAGAAGTAGTTGCATAACTTCTGATGTACTGTTGCCTTCTTGGGTCTACCCAGGTTGTGGTTCTAGTGTTGTGGTCAACAAAATAGACTCTTCCATCGGGAGTTTCTCGTTGTTCCCAGCCAGGAGGCAAATCGCCTAGACCTGGAGTAGTTAAGCCAGTTGCAGACATGGACAAAGCAGTTGATGGAGAAACAGCAGGAGTAGAGTTATTTGGAGGAGAGGTGACTATTAGTGGATTAGGATTAGCATTTGAATTTAAAGCGGTTGAGGTGTTTGAAGAAGTGGTATTGGGGTTGGAATCTGTGTTGTTTGAGGAGGATATATTTGTATTAGATTGCGAGGAATCGTTTGTCGATTGGCCAGGCAAAGTTCTATTGTAATGATTTCTTCTTTCGGCGTCGATACTGGCGTTGTTTTCAAAAGTTGGTCTCTGCCATGAAGTTGTTTTAGTATTGTGGTCAACATAGTATAGTCTACCATAGTCATCGGTTTTTCGTTCCCAGCCTGGAGGCAATCTTCCATATTGATCTTCAAAAGATGAGATTGGTCTGGTAGGCGAGGAGCCAGTGGTATTTGAAGATATTGCGTTATTAGAGGAATTGACATTATTTCTTATGGGATTGTTTATGTCGTTGGGATTGGTGGCTGTGTTGTATGAGTTTAAAGCTGATAGGGGAGTAAGAGGGTTATTTGCAGAATGTGGAGAAAATGAAGGATGTGGAGGAGGATTTGGAGGTCTATTGAGAACAATGTTGGTGAGAGTAGGTCTGTTGTTGATTCGAGAGGAATTGACGTTGAAATCGTTTACCGGGAATATATCGTTATTACGGCCATTGGAGCTGAAATTGTTATTTTGATTATTGTCATTTCTGTTATGAGAGATCATAAGAATGAGTTTTCCAGAGACGGAGAGGCTGTCATTGTTGCTTGATTTCAAAACTCTTGTTATGGTTTGAACGCAATTATTCAAGGACAAGTCCAAGATATCTTTGATTTTTATATTTGTCACCCCTAAGAAGCCTTGATCTTTTTTTTTGAATTTTTTTTGATCAAAGACCAGAACAGTTAGTGTACTGAGCTCTGTTATGTTGAATTCGAAGGTTTCGTTCCAATAGGGATTCAAAGTCTTTTTAGCAACCCTGGTTGTCTTTGTCTGGGAGCCATCAATTGTTAGCACAGCAAAGGGATCTGGACTCTTGAAGACATCTCTTTTACATAACGATTCAGCTGCAACAATTTTACAAGTGATAGTTGTTGAACTTAGGCCCACTGAAGTCATAATATTGGACGTAAACAAGATAAGAAACCGGTATTCAGGGCTTTAGGACTTAAGAAGAGAAGAAATCTTGAAAAGAAAAAACAGGGGAAGAAGAAAGAACCCACAACCGCAAAATAGTGTCTTGTGATAATATCGTTGTCAATATTACTAGCAGTGCTAACTCTTCAAGCAGCTTTCTGGTTTGCTGTTACTGATTATATCTGGGTGGATTGGAGGTGAGACCTTCTCCAAGCAAAAGACAGCGCTAGGGGGCTGTACGGCACGTGCTATACGGCACGTGAAGCTCCCACTGTTTGGATGCGGGTTCGAGTCTCGCGGAAGGCGTTTCTCAGGCGGAAATTGTGCAGGAGGCCCGTTTGGGGGGCGCGAGTCGCGCATCATGTGTTTTTTGGGAGTGCTGTGCTGTGATTGGCTGGTGGGTGCTGAAGCTATCAGAGGATATACTCGACTTGTTTTGATCAGTGAGACAATATAGAGAATGAGCAGCAGTTCTCTCTTTGCTGGCCAGTCTAAGTTTGCTTCGAGGTTTCCCTTGAGATGCTTTTCCTCCTGGAATTCGCCTATTCACTGCGACCCCAATGACTACAACAGAATCTTCCACGCTATTGAAAAGACCAACCGGATTCCACCTCCCAACAAACTGCCCCAGAGAAGAAGAGCTCTGCGCAAGAACAGAACAAAGAAGGTGCTTGTTGATACCCAGGTGGAAGCTGCGTTTTCTGGGCGAAAGAAGAACTCGTCTGGATCAACCAGGCACTATCTTGCCATACACAAGCTATCGGTTCCTCAGTTGTTTAACAAAGAAATTCAATCAAATCCATTGCATTCAAATGACATAAATAACCCAAATGGCTGGAATTATATCAATTATGATGAATATTACAACTACGATCAAATTGATATTGATAAACACAATGTTTGTGACGAGGTTAACGCCAACAATACCCAGAACGTCCATATTAGGAAAAAGACTTACAATATAGATATCTCCAACTTTGGAAACCAGGTTAATAAAAACAGAAAAGATCTCCCCAACAACATCAAATATCCCATGAAGATTCTCGAGACAGATTTTAATTCACTTAACGAGGTCTTTTACGCTAATAACTATTCCACCATTACAGATGATTTGAGACTGTACTACGTTATTAACAGTTTTTTATTCTTATTCTTATCAAATTTGTCCGCTGATCACTGCAATTCTAAACACATTGAAACTGACATCTTTAATGGTTTCAAACTAGACTACTTGTCGTTCTCTGCTGTTCACAAAAATTCAAATACAAAAAACTCAATTGTTAATCTCAAACTAAACAACACCAATAATTTTTTGTTTAATAATCACAAAAGCTATTTTTACTCAGAATACCACTTGAATAAATTGCAATTAATTCAATTGAAATTGGCATTCTCAATTTATAACAAAAATATTCAGCTTGATAATGATGATAACATCAGTAACACTAATGACATTGATTATATTAACAATCAGGCCTTGTTGATCCTAATCTCAACTATAACCAAAATTTTTTATTCCTCCAACAACAATGCCGTAATATCTGATTATTTACTAGTTAATCTACTAAACTTGCTATTAATCAACAGATTGACAAATTACGCTGACATTTTATTGAAAATAATTCTTCAACCAAGACTTTATTTAATTAAAAACGAATCGAATAAAAAAAACTCAATAATAACAAAGATATCTCTATCCTCCTCTCTAAATTTGTCAAAAAATCTTATACTCAAAAACATCATCCATTCTTCGATTTATTTATACAAAAACATCTCTCTATTCAAATCAATTATAAATAAATTATTTAATCTTAACGATATCAACATTAAAAATTACAATAATTACATAAACCAAGTATACGTCCCAAGATTAATATCAAATAGCGAGATCATTTACCCGTGCTGTCTAAAAGACTCAAAATATAAACTAGATATAATCGACTTGAAACCACAATCAAGTCTACCTTATACCAACGTCAATTACAATAATCTGGAAATAGACACCGCCAAAAGATACAACCTCATTTCGAATAGTACAACTTTAATCAAAAATGATTATTTGAGTGAATATGCAATTTTATATAATTTCAACCCCAAATCAAATCAAGATATTTCTGATAATAATAACAATAATACAATTTTGTTAAAGGATATCAGGAAATTGATAAAATCAATAGCTAAAAAGGAGTTTTTGCTAATCGATAAAAAAACAATTTATGTAATACTAAGAGGCTTGAATGCGTTTTGTATTCCAGAATTGTTTGATTTCTTTTTAAACAACTTGATCTTCAATTCATTTTTGATTTTCAATCCTCAAAAAATTGCAGAAAATACAATCTATATGAATGAGAGAAAAAAATTGATATTCAATAGTGAATTGATGATCTCTTTAAATGGCGTCAATGATTACACAAAAGAGGCTAATCTCAACAGATTTAAAAGTTTCTACTACATTCAAGATATCGAGTCATTAAGGGCCTTGTTCTCAGTTAATTTAATAAAAATCATTTTAAAATTTTGTTTGCACAATAAAGATATTTTGAAATTCAAATGGATTTTCAAAACATTTGAAAATCTATACCTAGTTGAGTATATCAACATAAACTACACAAAGCTCATCGGTGAGTTTGAGACTGATCCCAAAAAATTTGGTCAAAAATACCCAAACTTTTTCTCAATCCATGATATATATCTGTTTGAATATTATCAAATGATTTATGAAAATGATTTAAAAATCAAAAATGATATAAATAAAATCGACTCAAATAAGGAGAAATGGGATACAATTGATGAAATTGAAAAAGAAGTCGAGATTAATTGTGTAAATAGCGAAATATTGATTTTATTTATGAAAGTTGCAATTGAGTTGGAACAGTACTATGTTATTAAAATATTCCAAGAGAAATATTTAATAAGATTCAAAGATTTAATATTGTTCAATAGCGACAAGAATATCAATAAACATGATGAAAAACTAGTCAAATATTGGAATGACATTGAAGGTTTTGTCATGGAAAAAATCGACGAGGAAACATTCAAAGAATCAAATCAAATATGGAAAAATTGGAAATTTTTTAAATCAAATTAGTAGCCTCCAAAATTTTATAAATATTTATTTAAAATACCCTGTGCGTATATAGACTATAAAGAATACTGTACATAGAAGATTCAAAACAACTGCGATTTAAACGTCAAATACCAAATATCTAATTCAAACACTTGTAGTCAGTAAATCTGGTACTTCAAAACTAGCAATATTATCTTCTCAGATCAGATAAACAGTGTGGGCTGAAGTTAAAATCATAGGACACAAGCTCAACATTGTATGTTTCAGTGGATTGACAGATATAAAATCTAATTGTATAATCATACTAACCACTGCCCAACCTTCCCAGCATTGCAGCAACGCTCATACATACTCTGTCTATTTCTGCTTCATCAAAAGCTAGAAAGAAAGTGAGAAAGTGGGCAAAGAAGGAAAATTTTGATTCACCACTTTTTAACGAGAAAAAGAGCCCTATAATAGGGTAATACTATTAGTGGCCCTGACTTAGAGCCCTGTTCCAGAAGTGCGTCTATTTTATGCACGCGCGTTTCTTTTTGAAATTTTTCCAAACTGACGCACAATTCTGGTAAAAATGAGTAATTCTCAACAGTCTAAATATAAAAATCCATCCATGAACAACTAGTACTCTTGTTAGTCTTCTTCATGATATCTTTTTCCTCTATTGTATTAAAGAACTCAAGAAATTACGTTGCATTTCGCTCAATTAGTCCTAGAAATCTTGTTTTACGCACTAAATTTAATAAAAAATTTCATTCGACAACCTATTCTCACTACAAATCCGATACTAAAATTAACATGTCAATTTCTTTAGCAGAATCTAAAAAAGCTGTTCCATTTTCCAGAGAACAACTAGAAAGTGTTCTAAAAAGACGTTTTTTCTTTGCTCCATCATTTGAATTGTATGGTGGTGTCTCTGGGTTATATGATTATGGTCCACCAGGTTGCGCATTTCAGGCCAATATCATTGATATCTGGAGAAAACACTTTGTTCTTCATGAAGACATGTTGGAAGTTGATTGCTCAATGCTAACTCCCTATGATGTCTTGAAGACCTCAGGTCATGTTGACAAATTTTCTGATTATATGTCGAAGGATCCCAAGACTGGGGAAATTTTTAGAGTTGATCATTTGATTGAAGAAGTACTAGAGGCCAGATTGAAAGGTGACAAACAGGCTAGAGGTCAATCAGCAGACATTTCTGCCAATGCTGATAAAGATAACAAGAAAGAACAAAAGAAAAAGAAAATCAACCTAAAAGTCAAAGCTCTTAAATTGGATGATAAAGTTATTGAAGAATATGAAACTATTTTAGCTAAGATTGATGGCTTCAATTTAGAAGAATTAACTGAGATCATGGAAGTCCACAAAATTGGCAGTCCAGTAACTGGTAATAAATTAGAAAAACCAATCTCATTTAATTTGATGTTTGAAACTGCTATTGGGCCATCTGGTCAATTGAAGGGTTATTTAAGACCAGAAACTGCCCAAGGTCAATTTTTGAATTTTAGCAAATTGTATGATTTCAACAACCTTAAAATGCCATTTGCCTCTGCATCAATTGGTAAATCATTTAGAAATGAAATTTCACCAAGATCTGGATTGTTAAGAGTTAGAGAATTTTTAATGGCAGAAATTGAGCATTTTGTTGATCCAAATAATAAAAGCCATGACAGATTCGATGAAATTAAAGATCTTAAATTGAAGTTTTTACCAAGAGATGTTCAACAAGCTGGTAAGACCATACCAATTGAAGTTTCAATTGATCAAGCAGTTTCCACTAAGATGGTTGACAACCAAACTTTAGGTTATTTCCTCGGTAGAATTTATCTATTTTTAACCAAGATTGGTGTTGATACTGAAAAAGTTAGGTTTAGACAACATATGGCTAATGAGATGGCACATTATGCAGCAGATTGTTGGGATGCAGAATTGTTAACATCTTATGGATGGATTGAATGTGTTGGATGTGCTGATAGAAGTGCATATGATTTGACAGTTCATGCCAAGAAGACTAAAACTAATTTGGTTGTAAGAGAATCATTATCAGAACCAGTTGTGACTGAAACTGTTGAATTATCTATTCAAAAAAAGAATTTTGGTCCAAAATTCAGAAAAGATGGATCAAAAGTGGAAAATTGGTTATTGAAAAGAACTGAAGAAGATTTGATTAAATTGCAAAAAGAATTAAATGAAAATGGTAAAATCAAATTCAATGTTCCAACCATTGATTATGATATTGAATTAGATAAAAACTTTATTGATATTCAAAAAGTCACTAGAAAAGAGCATATTAGGGAATACACACCCAATGTCATTGAACCATCATTTGGTCTTGGTAGAATCATTTATTGTGTTTACGAACACCAATTTTGGGCTAGATCAGAAGATCCAACCAGGGGAGTGTTATCGTTCCCACCCATTGTTGCTCCAACTAAAGTGCTATTAGTTCCATTATCCAACCACGATGATTTGCTTCCAATTGTAAAGAACCTTTCAAAAGTTCTCAGAAGCGAACAAATACCATTTAAAGTGGATGACTCCAGCACATCCATTGGTAAGAGATACTCTAGAAATGACGAGTTAGGTACACCTTTTGGTATCACCATCGACTTTGATACTGTCACTGATCACTCAATCACACTAAGAGACAGAGATAGCACCAAGCAAGTCAGAGGAACAATTGAAGAAGTGATTGGTGCCATCAAGAAGATGACTTACAACCACTTGAGCTGGGCTGAAGGAACCAAGGACTTGAAGGTGTTCGAGTCGAAGATTGAAGATGAAGAGTAAATTTTGCTTAGAAGTCATCTAAGTTGTGTGTGCTTGTATAGCATTTCTATAAATTTTACGTATTGTTTTTATATTTGGTAATCCATAATGATTTAACTAATAGGCTTCAATTCATGTCATAAAGAGTATAAAATCAAAAATAAAAGAAATTAAACAGTGAAAAAGAGCTCGCACTCAGATTCGAACTAAGGACCAACAGATTTGCAATCTGCTGCGCTACCACTGCGCCACACGAGCTATCATCGGAACTATGGGGAAAACAATTTGATACATTATCAGCCCTTTGGAACTACATAGCCAAAGAAGTGTTTATTGCTGATCATGAGAAAAGTATTATGGCAAAAATAAAAGACAAAAAATAAAATTAGTAAACAATCACTGCACTATTTGTATTGTAAGCGAACAATAGTAGAATCTGTAGCAAGAACAATCAAGATTGTGTTCAGAGCCCTAATGATAGGGCTCCAACTTTTATCGCAATTACAGCTTAAATTATCAACTGAGTGAAAAACATTCAAAGATCACTTATCAGTGATTATAATATGTCTAATTCAAGTATTTATCTATGCTTATTCAATTGAAAAGGTAGTGGAGAGCACATTTTGAAGCTTAGTGTTTTGTTTGGTATTGGTGGATGGTATTTTATGTGTGTGGATCATCTGATTTAGCTGGTTTTTGCTGCCACAAATCCAATGCAATTTGGAGGAGTTGACGATGGTTGTCTTTCATGGTTTTTAAAACTTTCTATCTTTCAATTGATCTTTCGACAGTTCTGAAGTTGATACAGCAGCTGTTATTTGCAATTTTATTTGATCTTTTGAAAATAAAATTGTTTTTTGCTTTGATTTTAATTCAATTTGCTAAAGATTCAATTCCTTTTTTAGCAATTTATATTGGTTGCATTCACTATTTTAAAATTTACAACTTGCAGTTTACAATGGTTGATTTGGACTCACTTAAACCTGCTGAGCAAATTAGTTTAATGCAGCATATTCTTTTTCTAAAACCAACTAATAGATCAGTTAATTTAGCTTGTAAGGAAATCATTGATAAATTGTCCAAAAAGGAAAACTTCATATTAAACATTTTCCAGCTCATTAAAAATACTTCTGATGTTTATTCGAAGGAAAAAAATTATATTTATACCAATATTAATAATGACAATAATAATAATAATAATAATAATAATAATGACCATGAAATTAATGTTTTGAAATCAATAATTGGAATGGCTAGATGGAAAACCATTGAATATTGGAAATCTGGCTTTATTAATACAAATCAATTGATGAAAGATCAGATTAAGGATGAATTATTTTTAACATTATTCAATGTAAATTTTTCAATTAAATCTCAATTTTTACTTTTTAAAGATTTGCTTGGAACAGTTTTGATAATATACAAGATTGACCTATTTTATCCATCATGCAAATATAATCTATGCAAATTATATTTATTATTGGATTTAATTTTTCGATTTGATTTTGATTCATTGAGTTTAAGAAACTTCAATCAAATTTATATTTCGACTTACGTTTTATCGAATTTAATTGACTTTATTAAATTCAAGGTTTCGACAAATTCATTTTCAGAGACTGTTCATACGAGGTTTATAGAAATTTTAAAAGATTTATATTTTTCAAAGAATAAACTACATGAAAGGTCATGTAACGTAATGGTAAAAATCATGAAAAGCTTCAAGAATTTTAGTAAAGACCAAGAAGAATTAACAGTATCGAAATTTTGTTTAATTTCACGAATTTTTTTGAATTGTTTAAAGATATATTGCCATTCCATTTTAGTTTTTGATTCGGATAGTATGGTTTCAGATTTCTTATTTAGATACGAAAAGTTGATAGATTTATTTTGTGATACAATTAATTTAAAACTCCACTGTACTGTTCCTGATAATAGTTATATGAATGTTTTATGGGGTAATGTTAAATATCAAATATCAAAGGTTATTTTATCATTTAATATTTTTATAAAGTTAGGTAAACTTCAACCTAATAACTCAAATAAAATTGATATTGACTTTTTAAAATTAAGTCAAGCTGTACCAAAAAGCGAGCTCCTTGTCAATAAATTCGAGAAATTATCTCAAATGAAAAGAATTGCAAAGGGTAAAGATATGGAAAAAAAATAAAAAGAAATCAAGTTATCGGAATCAAGAAGGTAAAGAAGGATAGACAAAAAGCTACAAGATATTAGAAGTCGTACATATTCTGGTTATTTTGATAAGAATACCGTGAATGAAATCGAGTAATTAGATTTGTTGAGATTAATTTATTAGGATTGACTTATTTAGAATATAAAAATAAAAATAAAAATAAAAATAAAAATATAAAATGTGATTTATGAAATATAATAGATCAGTGATAATGAATTAAGAAAAAGGTAACAGGAAAAAAAGTAGCAATTTCCTAAGATACTTATTTCTTACGATCTTTGAAGTGGTCTTCGATCTTGTTGGCTAAGATACCACCGATTAAAGCACCACCTAATTTGGCTAATTTGGAGTCTTTGGCTTTACCACCAGCATAGTATCCNGTTGTTGTTGTTGTTGTTGTTGGTTTGATTGGCCTTTGTCGGAACCTGAACCGTAGAAACTGTTAGCAGACATTGTGTAAAAGTGTGGAAGTTTAATTGAGTGTGAGAAAAGATAGATGTCAATAAGTATTAGAATATACTAGATAATGAGATATAATAAGATATAAAAAGAAGAAGGAAAACAAATCAAGGAGGGAGATGAGGTCTCATTTATATTGACTCGATCAGCGAGAAAATCGATAAAACCAACCTAATAACAACTTCCAAAAAAGTGTAAACCGCACCAAAAGAACGGGGAAAACTGATCTAATAGGCTGAAAATGGGCCTCTGTTCAGGAGATGATTAAGATTTGGATGCTTTGGGATGATTTGGGATGATAATGTTGGCGATTGAGGCAGTTTAGTTTGGCTGACGAGAAGGGAGCATTACCACCTTTGTGTGAAATGAATGATATGATAATGGCTAAGCTGCTACTGTGCCATTTTGGTGTTGAGAGAATGAGGAATGAAAGCGATTTGTCTGTGATCTGTCTGTGATTTGATTATCATTTCTCAGTGAAAAGAGGCAAAGATTATTAATTACTCCTAACGCTGAGCTGTTTGAACGGTGAGGCTCCGGATTAGACCGTGCATATCCTCGAAAATGGCTGAGAGACATTGCCCAATCAGAGAAGGCACTGTTTTGCCATCACCCGTTCTAAGAGGATGTGAGCAAACAAAGTTTACAGCCCTAATCACCAGCCACAGCGCGGATCTTATTTACTGCGGATTCAGTATATGGGAGGGGATTCCGAAAGAAAGCACTGCGATTTCTAAATATTCCTCTAAAACAGATTTAGGGTCTGCAGAGGGCCAAACCTCTTTCCTCTTGCATGGTTCCGCAAACTCTTTTTCTGCGGAACAATCAACAAGAAACAAAAAGAAAGAGATGGTGATGGGTACTAATAGCTGGTTTTCAGTGACGACGATAGGATTATTACAATAATAGTGAGATATAGTTTCTGTCTATTTTATGAATGAGCTATATCCAAAGAAGATAAAAAAAAACAAGATCCAAAGATAAAGAGATGTAGTGACAAAGCTAATTTTTGGGCTTAATATATCAAAAGAAATAATAATTACGAAGAGAATTATAAGTGTTAAAGATAGAGAGATAGATTGCCTTTTTTTTTAAGATGTTTTTGTGTTTTTTTTTTAAATTAAAATCAACTAAAGTTGAATGACATATATAATATTTAATTTAATTAATAATCAAAAAATTAAAGTAACAAAAAACCCAAGAAACATAAAATGGTTGAAGAGATGGCGGCTTTTTGAATAGCAGCACCATTAGCGGTAGCAACTTCAAGTGTGGGTTGTGGTGGAAGATAAGATGAAACTTTTGGAACTGATTCAATAGTAGAAGCCGACTCGATAACAGGTGCAGTTTCAACAGCAGGTGCAGTTTCAACGACTGGAACAGTTTCAAGAGTTGGTACAGTTTTGATGGTTGGTGGAGCTTTGACAACTGGAGGGGTTTCAACAGCTGGAGCAGTTTCGTTGTAGTAGTGTTCAAAGTGTGGAGCGTCTGAGTAAACTGGTTTGCCTTCAAGGGTAGAATGTTCGTGGGCATGGTCTTTTGGAACAGTAGCGTTACTGTAAGGTGGAGTTGTGCTTTCAATGATGTGTTCAATGGGGGTAGTGGATGTGTATGGGTAAGTGACGATAGATTCTTCGACTTTAACAACTTCGGATTCAACGACTTTGGAGACACTGGTCTTTTCAGCTTCGACTGGGATAGAAGAGGTAATAGTTACAATTTCAGTCAAGCATTTTTCTGAATCGCAGCTGACGACTTCAGTTTCAGTGACAACTATAATAGTTTCAACAATAGTTTCGGTTAGTTCAGAGTAAACGCTGGAACCGGCAGCAGCAGAGCTGGAAACAGCAGCAGAACTAGAGACATCAACTGGAGATGATGATGGAGCAACTTCAGTTTCACATGGAACAGTGATGGTGATGGTGACTTGTTTGGTTTGACATTTACCAGTGTTACATTCAACAATATCAGTGACGGTAACAACTTCAGTGCTGGATTCTGCGGTTGGGGCAACAGAAGAAGCAGGTTTCGAGCTGGTTGGACTTTCAACTTCACAAGGAACAGTAGTAGTGATGGTGACTTGTTTGGTTTGACATTTTTTGGCGCTGCATTCAACGACTTCAGTAACGGTGACAATTTCAGTGAAACTGGAGACAATATAGTCAGTCTTGGAATCTTCAGAAGGTGCACCTGAGCTGGAGACAGGGAAGGCAGAGGTAGAGGCGCTTGGGATTTCTTCGTCATCGCCTGTGTAAGTAGAAGTGATACAATCGTCAGTTGGAACATCAGTAGCATCTTCACACTCGACTAAAGTGGTGTGTTCGACCCAACCAGTTGTGCATGTTCCACAAGAACAATCAACGGTTTCACTGTATGTTACATATTCTAATAAACAGTAAGCATCTTCAGTTGTGGTTGTTTCAGTTATATTAGAGTACTCTTTGTGAGGACTTGGGAGAGCAAAAGCTGGCAAAGCTAAAGCGGACAATAGTAAAGCAAGAGAATATTTCATATTTGATTGAGATATGGTAGAATAAAGAGAATAAACAGGAATGAGGATATAGTTGAAAATCTTGAAATTGATAAAGCACTCAACAGGATATGATCAATTGAATTGATATAAAAGAGTGAGCTTTTAAATGAAAAGAAACGAATGTGGAGGATAGAGGAAAGGAAAAGAATGAAAAATTATAAACGAGTGAATAATTTCTCTGAACAACAATTAATATGTTGAAGCGATTTTATATTAGGCAAAAACCACAATTAATATAGTGAAAATTCAGGGATAGAGGTAGCAGTGGGAAAGAAAAAAAAGCAGTGAACTGAAGTATATATATTAGAAAAGGCAAGTTAGACAAGTTAGAGAGAGAGGTTAGCACAGTCAGCGAAAAACAAATACTGCTTCGATATTCACAGCAAATCTAAAAGATAACAGAAAAGAAAACGGTACTAAACAGTCTGAATTGAGAAAGAAAAATAGCTTTAAGTTTATAATTCTCAGTCCGTTTTAAGTTTTTACTCTTAGCATATGAAGCAACACAATCTTATTTCGCGTTAATGTGATGTTGAGATTTCTCAAGAATGGATGATTGGCAGAGATGCAGGAAGAGTAACCATCGAATTAGAAGGACATAAGCTGCTATAAACAGAACAGGCCTCTGGGAAAAGTTATAAAAAGAATCAATGCAAAAAAGGCAGAAACAGAACAGAACAGAACAGAACAAGCAAAAAAAACAGAAACCAAAAGGGTGCTCGAGCCATGCTGCCAGAACTGTGGCTCCAATGCACGCAGTATGTATGTGGAAGCAGAACCGCATATGCAACAACGTGGGACTTGTGGGACTTGTGGGACCAGAGTCCGCAAACCGGGTCTGCTGCGTGTGGTGCACATCCACGGTACTGGTTTAGCTGTCGCTAAGGATTGTGGCGACAATAGGGACCATTCTTGGCGGTTGGGGACCTACAAAAGCTTGTGCGCTGCCGGCGGAGCCTGTGCTGTTGACAATAGATGCGTCCGGGCGCCGTCGAGCACCTAGATGATGTCAGCACGTGTGGCAGGACTTCTAAATTAAACAGCGCGAGCACCCCTTTGGCAGCACAAAACCATCCCGCACATATCTCTTGGGGCACAGACGCAGCGACCATGACCCGCACCAATGGCGCCAGAGCACTCCTGAAGAGAGTTGTGCAGGGACCAAAATAAGCATCCCGCATGCATAGCATTCCGCCCTGATCTGCAATCGGCGCTGCTTGGCGCGCGCTAGCTTTGGACTCTCCTGTTTGGCTCGCTCTCAGATATTGGAATCCGGCGTGAAAACAGCCTATGCTAAGCTTTGCGAGCTGCAACGCCCGGTCTCTCGCTTGAAACCTACCTGAACTGCGCGCTCCCACTCCGTATCCGTCCTCTCTCAGCCACTACCAGCAAAAAATCTCCTTACCCGTGCACTTTTCCTGCCGTGTTGAGGAATAATTTCAAAGGCTCACTACTTTTTTCGCGAGCGCAGCGACTTTTTCAGCTAAAATTCCAAAAAGTCGTTTTTTAAATGAAACATCATCCTGTGAGCTGTTCTGTGAGCCATTCAAAAGTCAGCTCAATCACACATTTCCTAAGCCCATTCCATCTCTCATCTGGATTTTTGGCTGCGCTTTTAGCAGTGTGATCGTAAACCATGTCCATAAGCCCGTTTGTGATAAGAACCATCTCTTCTCGCTCCAATTTGACTTGTTTTTATCCCGCACGGGCCATAAACAAAGCTCTACCGCTCATGCAAATCGACAGTCCAATCATTCTCGCTGGTTTGCGTTTACTCAGTATTTCTCGCTGAAATATTTCTCTATCAAAAATGCATACTCTCATTTCTCAGTACCAAATCTGCCCTATTACGTGCTTTTTTTTAAATGTTTGGTTCTTGAACTATTAATATTTGTTTCTTTTGATTTCTTAAATTGGCCTTTCTTTAGTATCATGTATCAACTACATTTGAAAATCATTCAAACCTCTGCTGGAAAAAGTTCAAATCCTTCACAAAATAAATTCAAATACAATTAGAATAAAATGAAATAAAATGAAACAAAATTGAATAAAGTGAAATAAAATAGAATAAAATAGAATAAAACTAAGTTAGAAATGCAAATTATAAATTATAAAATAACACAAAATAAATAATTTATCCTTAATCAATCAAATAGTAAACGGCAAGAATTAGTAAAGTCTGTTCGTAGTATTGTTCATTCCTAAAATAATTCAGGGATAAAATTTCTCAATATTTTAAAGTAATAAAAGACCCAAGAAACATAAAACAGTGGAAGAGATGGCAGCCTTGGGGATGGCGGCACCGTTTGCTGTGGCAACTTCAATTGTAGGCTGTTCTGGAACGTAAGATGAAACCTTTGGGGATGATTCAACACTGGTTGATACAGCCTCAGGATTCTCAACATATAACGAAGATGAGACTTCGCCTGTACCTGCGTTGATCTCTTTGGTTGTCAATGTACTTGCTTGTTCATAAGAATAGTCTTTGGAAGTGGCAACTGTGCCATAAGATGGAGTTGAACTTTCCTTGATAGCTTCAACCAAGGTTGTAGCGGAGGAAGATGGAAGAGGATGGTCGATGACTTTTTCATTGACAACTGTATTACTGGCTTCGTCAATTTTACCACTTTCAGAATAATCGCCGGTGGCCAATGAACTAGTTTCAGCCAAATTACCCTTCAAAGTGCTTAAGCCTTCAATAGTAGATGAAAAAATAGTTTCTTCAATCACAATACTGGAAGTATAGAAAATAGTACTGCTTGAACATTTTTCTGAATCACAACTAACAACTTCAGTTTCAGTGACGATTCCAGTAGTTCTAGTGATAACAGTGCTTTCAGCAGCCGAGCCAGATGGAATGTAGACAGAACCAGCTGAAATATGAACAGATCCTGTTGGAATATGAACAGATCCTGTTGGAATATGAACAGAGCCGGTTGGGATGTACACTGAACCGGACAATATATATGTCT